GATACATCGCCTGGCGAACCCGGAAGGCGCAGCGACGCGCGCAGGCAGAAGGACCCTCGAGGCCAGCGAGCCCTTTCGTCCTCTGGCCGAGTCGAGGAGGACCCCGCCCCCCACCGCGCAGCGAGGCCGCACGACGCCGACTCCCCGACCCGACCTTCCTTGATGGGCGTGAGGGGGGGGCGACCAGCGGTTCCCGGTGGAAGCAGGAGAAGACCGCGCTGTGTCCTAGGCTCCCGTCCCGCGCGCAGTCCCCGAAGGAGATCGATGGCGCCCCGGGGAACCAGGAGTAAGGTCGACTTCCACGCCGTTGCCTCGGAAGTGACGCCCGGCTCTCCCTCGACGCCCGCGAGGATGTTGTAGCCGAGAAGCTCCTCTCGAGGACGACAGTGGATGCCGCAGCCGCGAGCCGCAACCCAGCATGAAGGTTGCCATCCCAGGCAGAGCGATCAAGATGCCGGAGAACCTCGGACCCGGAGCGCCGGCGCAGCTGAGCCCGCTGGCCAGGACGGGCAAGATCCCCTACAACAACATCGAGATGCGCCCCGCCATCGACTACTTGAGTCTCGGCAGCGGCGGCCATGGCCCCCTCCAGGCCCCCGACGACGCCAGCGCCAAGGAGTGGAGGAGGACGACTAAGCTCTACAAGAAGGACCTCAAGGCCAAGGGCAACATCCGGCCCTCGACGGCCGTGCGGCGCCACGTCAAGAAGATTTCCGAGGAGTTCACGATGACGCAGACGAAGTACGAGAACTCCGTCAACACGACGTCCTCCTCGGCCTCCAAGGCGTCGGACGGGAAGGAGAAGTCGACGTCGAAGGCCGCCTCCTCTGCCTCGATCTCGAACAAGATTCCGCAGTCGAAGTTCCCCAAGAACGTCTTGTCGAAGATCTCGTGCACGAAATGCGACACGATCACAGGCCGCAAGGCGCCCATGGCCCCCCTGGTGAGCGCGGCCGTCGTCAGCTCGTCCAAGGCGCCCTCGAAGCCCGCGCCGATACTTAAGTCGCAGAGCCACAAGGCCCACAGGGCGTCCGCCTCCAGTACGTCCCCCAAGAGAATCAGAGACGCCTCCTCCTCCCCGCAGAAGAAGGCCTCCCTCAGCCCTCCCGGGTCCTCGCCGCGCCCGCGCCTCAAACACCCGCATGGGCGTGGCAGCGGGGGCGTGGGGAGCCTCGAGGTGAGTCTGGCGCCCACGAACCCCAGCGTGCCAAAGTCGCCCGGGAAGAAGAGGGAAGGGGCGGGCGTGTCGCCGCGGTCGCAGCAGGTCTCCTTCGAGCAGATTAAGAAGGCGAAGCTGTTCACGGAAAAGGCCATTATGGTGAGTACCTTCAGTAACTTATAACTCTAATTTCTATTGATATTATGTATACTTTCTTAAAAGGCTCAGGGCAGCGCATTATATATCATTAATAAATTTATCATTATCATAGATCTGTTCACCTTTCGCTAGTCTGGAGGCTTATATCAGTTGATTGTATTTATTTCTTCATTCTTTGCCGTACAGGAGGGCCGTGTCTTCTCCATCTTCGGGTATTTCCCTGCCATCAAGGACGCCCTGAAAAGGCGCGGGTGGGTAGAGAAAATACAGCACTCGGTCCCCTACGTTAATCCCCACCCGAACAACTGCGTCTGTCCTCACGTCGGCTACCAGTCCGTCTTTATCAGCCCCCCGCCCCTCACGCCCCCTTCGACCACTGCCGCCACCTCTCCCGCAACCACTGCAACCTCTTCCACCACCACCACCACCTCCAGCAGCAGCGCCTCCATAGCATCGGGAGGCGATCAGAACGGCCCTTCGTCGGCGAGCGAGTCGGCCACGTCCTCGCCTGACGCTCCGTGCACGGGCGAGGGCACCGCGGAGGCCGAGGCGCAGCTGAACCGTGACACAGCGGAAAGTCCGAGTTTAGCAGAGTCCGAGACGCCCTCCGACACAGCTCCTCAGCCTCCGCCTTCCTCACTCGCTTCCTCATTCTCATCCTCCTCGTGTAGGTCGTCGTCCCCCTCATCTCCCACTTCATCATCATCCGTTTTAGAGTTAGTCGAGAGACCACAGACCAAGACCACTGCCAATCTAGGTTCTTCCAGCGTAGAGAATGTAGCGCCCGCAGCCAACGACGCAGCCAAAGCTCCCAGCCCTAGCGAGAGTAGCCCCCAGTCTCTCCTCGCCGGGGAGTCGGAGAGTCGAAACACCTCTCCGAACCAGAGTCAGGCGAGCGACGAGTCTTCCAGTGTTCCAGGAGAGTCGAGACGGGGTTCGAAGCCTCTCGATTTCTTTCCCGATAACGAAATCAACACTGCCATACTCGGCCCTTCCGAAATACGCAAGGGACTGAAGGAATGCATCACCGAGAAGAATTCCGCGCTGTTCAAGTACAGTACAACCAGCATCTTGAAGAAACTCAAGAGCAAGAGCGAGGAGGCGAACAAGGCCAAGACACAGGGCGCCGGCGAGAACGACCAACAGGACAAAGAGGAAGACAACGAAGAAAAGAAGGAAGAAGGCAAAGAGGACGAGAATCCACCCGAAGACAAAGAGGAACCCAAGGAGGTCGAACCCGCGCCCGAGCCCTACAACCCTTACGTGGAGTACCAGCTGAGCAACACGGACCTGCCCCTCGTCGCCCGCCTCCTCAGGAACGTCGAGCCTAATCTCCTCTGGACGTGGACCAGAGACTCCATTTCCTTCAAGCACCTCAGCAGGGAACAGCTCGTCAACCGCTTCCCCAACACGCCCTTCACCACCAAGGTAGGGCTGCTTTGAGTTTCTCTTGTCTGTCTGTTACTCAGTTGTCTGTCTGTCTTTCTACCCATTTCTCTGTGTCTACTCATTTGTGTGTTTACTCATTCGTCTGTCTGTCTGCCTATTTGTCTGTATGTCTGTCCATTTCTCTGTGTCTACGCATTTGTCTGTCTACCTGTCCATCTATTGTATGTTTATCTACTTACCTGCAAATCTATCTACCTACCAGTCAGTTAATCAAGCTATATTATGTCTGTGAGTCTTTTTTATCCATCTTTTTATCTGTTTCTTGTCCTTCTCTCAGATTATTTACTGCTTTCTGTTCCTCTCCTCTTTGTTATCAGTTTGCTTTCTTTGTTTTTTTAATAATTACCGTATTTAGCTTTTTAGCATCCCTCTTTCTCTATCCCCTCCTTTCTCTACTACCTGTTTTTTTTTCTTCGTTTTTAATTCCCTCACCTCCTCCCTTTTCTCTCTTTGCATCCCTCTCTCCACCTCTCATTCCCTCCTTTTCTCTCTCCCCTACCTTATTCTCCCTCTCTGTTCCTTCTTTCCCCCTTCTACACCTTCCCTTTGCTCTCTCACTCTAGTGCCCCCACCCCTTGCTTTCTTCCCCTACCTCTTCCCTCTTCATTTCCCTCTGTTTCCCGCCCTCCACTTCCCTCCTTTCTCCGCCTCCTCATTTCGCACCTTCCTTTTTTCTCCCTCCCTCTTTCTCGCCTCCTTCCCCACCTCCCTCTCCTCCCCGCCCTCCCTCTCCCTACCCCTCAATCCCCCTCTGCACCCCCTCCCTCCCCCTCCCCTTCCTCCTTCCCCTCTTCCCCTCCCCACCTTCTTTCTCCCCTCCCCCCCCAACCTCCTCCTTCCCCCACTACCCTCTCTTACCCTCCCCCTTCCTCCTCCTTCCCAACCCCTCTACACTCCCTTCCCCTCCCCTACCCCCCACCTCCCCCCCCCCCCAACCTCCCAGTTTTCATATCGTTCCGTTGACCTTTTTTTCCAGAATGAATGGTCGGGAAAATAGGGAATTTGGTCTGTTTTGTGTGTTTGTTTGTTTGTCTGTTTATTTGTTTGCTCGTGTTCTATGTAGGTGTCGTTTTTTTTTTTATTGACGACCACACGCACGCGAGGCTGTGTCGTATCGTGTCGTGTCGTGTCGTGTTCGGTGGAGGTCGTTGGTGGTCGTTTTCACAGGCTTGTCTTAAGGGAGAAGGAAGTCGTTAAAAGGGATGGAGAAACTAGGATTTTTTATTATTGTTATTACTATTATTATTATTACTATTATCATTATTATTATTATTATTATCATATTATCATTATTATAATTATCGTTATTAATATTATTATTACTATGAGTTATTTTGCTATTGTTATCATTATTATAATTATTAAGATTATTATTATTATTTTCATTGTTATTATTATTATCATTATCAGTGTGTGTGTGTGTTTGTGTGTGTGTGTGTGTGTATATGTATGTGTGTGTGTGTGTGTGTGTGTGTGTGTGTGTGTGTGTGTGTGCGTGTGTGTATGTGTGTGTGTGTGTGTGTGTGTGTGTGTGTGTGTGTGTGTGTGTGTGCGTGTGTGTATGTGTGTGTGTGTGTGTGTGTGTGTGTGTGTGTGTGTGTGTGTGTGTATGTATGTGTATGTGTGTGTGTGTGTGTGCGTGTGTGTGTGCATAATGATGAAAATAATAATGATAATGATATCATTACTATTGTTATTATTGTTGTTATTATTAATGCTATCATTATTATTATTATCACAACCATTATTATTTTTTATTATCAATATTATCGATAGATAGATAGACAGATAAGCAAACAAATATAGATTGGTGGGTGGATGGATGGACTGATAGATAGGTAAATAAACAGATGGATATATATATATATATATAAATAAACTAGAGAGAGAGAGAGAGAGAGAGAGAGAGAGAGAGAGAGAGAGAGAGAGAGAGAGAGAGAGAGAGAGAGAGAGAGAGACAGAGTGAGAGTGAGAGAGATGTATATGTACAAATATATATATACATATATATATATATATATATATATATATATATATATATATATATATATATATATATATATATATATATTCATATTTATATAAATGTGTTTCTCTTTTTTCTTTATCTCCTTCGAAAGCTGCATTATCCCTGGACGTCATTGATTTTCTTCTTTTTCTCTATTGTCTTTCAATCTTTTATTCCCTTGTCTCTTTGTCTTATTAATAAAAAAAAAATCCTTCTCATTTATCATATTTTTTGTTTTTACATATCCCCCCCCCCATTCTTCTTATTCTTACTTTCCTTTTCCTTTTCCTTTCCTTCCTTCCTTCCTCTCTTCCTCCTTTCCTCGTAATTCGTCTTCATCCGTAAATTGGCTCGATATACCTGCCTCGCCGCCGTAACGAAGGGAATAAAAGTCGGCAGATAAGCGCTTTGATATCAAGGAGTCAATAAGAGTTGGGAACCTGATGTAAATAAGGCCTTTAGAAAATGGGGGCTGTGAGGGGTAACTGTAGGAAAAAATAGTGGGGGAGCTGGAAGGTTTATGGTAGGTAGGATTGGGGGGAGGGAATGAAGGATGATAAAGAGGTAATAGGAAGGTAATGAAGAATGTAGAAGATCAAAGAAAATAAATAAACTCAGAAAATATGTAAATGACAAATCAACCTCGTAAAGTGAAGGGATAGAAAGAATTTTAGTCACAAGGATATCAGTTCCTCTTAAAAAAAAGTTATAATAAGAATTACAGGAATGAAAATATTCAATGACTTGGAAAACCAAGGATTAAAAATGTCGTTTCGGCAACCTTTGCCATCACGATTTTCTCCGATATATCGTTTTAAGCTGAAGCTCACGAACATCAAAACTGTTTTCTTTCTCTCTCTATCTCCCTCTCTTTCCAAAACTTTCATGGCAGGAAACTCTCTCTCTCTCTCTCTCTCTCTCTCTCTCTCTCTCTCTCTCTCTCTCTCTCTCTCTCTCTCTCTCTCTCTCTCTCTCTCTCTCTCTCTCTCTCTGTCTCTCTGTCTGTCTGTCTGTCTCTGTCTGCCTGTCTGTCTGTCTGTCTGTCTGTCTGTCTCTGTCTCTGTCTCTGTCTCTGTCTCTGTCTCTGTCTCTCTCTCTCTCTCTCTCTCCTCTCTCTCCTTCTCTCTCTCTCTCTCTCTCTCTCTCTCTCTCTCCCCCCCTCCCTCCCTTTCTCTCTCTCTCTCTCTCTCTCTCTCTCTCTCTGTGTCTCTGTCTCTCTCTGTCTGTCTGTCTGCCTGTCTCTCTCTCTCTCTCTCTCTCTCTCTCTCTCTCTCTCTCTCTCTCTCTCTTCTCTCTCTCCCTCTCTCTCTCTCTCTCTTCTCTCCTCTCTCTCTCTGTCTCTCTCTCTCTCTAGTCTCTCTCTTTCAAAACTTTTCCAGTAGGAAGTTGAAATTTCATACATCTCCCTCTCTTTCCAAAACTTTCATGGCAGGAAACTCTCTCTCTTCTCTCTCTCTCTCTCTCTCTCTCTCTCTCTCTCTCTCTCTCTCTCTCTCTCTCTCTCTCTCTCTCTCTCTCTCTGTCTCTCTGTCTGTCTGTCTGTCTCTGTCTGCCTGTCTGTCTGTCTGTCTGTCTCTGTCTCTGTCTCTGTCTCTGTCTCTGTCTCTGTCTCTCTCTCTCTCTCTCTCTCTCTCTCTCTCTCTCTCTCTCTCTCTCTCTCTCTCTCTCTCCCCCTCCCTCCCTTTCTCTCTCTCTCTCTCTCTCTCTCTCTCTCTGTGTCTCTGTCTCTCTCTGTCTGTCTGTCTGTCTGTCTGCCTCTCTCTCTCTCTCTCTCTCTCTCTCTCCTCTCTCTCTTCTCTCTCCTCTCTCTCTCTCTCTCTCTCTCTCTCTCTCTCTCTCTCTCTCTCTCTGTCTCTCTCTCTCTCTAGTCTCTCTCTTTTCAAAACTTTTCCAGTAGGAAGTTTGAAATTTCATACATCTCCCTCTCTTTCCAAAACTTTCATGGCAGGAAACTCTCTCTCTCTCTCTCTCTCTCTCTCTCTCTCTCTCTCTCTCTCTCTCTCTCTCTCTCTCTGTCTCTCTGTCTGTCTGTCTGTCTCTGTCTGCCTGTCTGTCTGTCTGTCTGTCTCTGTCTCTGTCTCTGTCTCTGTCTCTGTCTCTGTCTCTGTCTCTCTCTCTCTTCTCTCTCTCCTCTCTCTCTCTCTCTCTCTCTCTCTCCTCTCTCTCTCCCCCTCCCTCCCTTTCTCTCCTCTCTCTCTCTCTCTCTCTCTCTCTGTGTCTCTGTCTCTCTCTGTCTGTCTGTCTGTCTGTCTGCCTGTCTCTCTCTCTCTCTCTCTCTCTCTCTCTCTCTCTCTCTCTCTCTCTCTCTCTCTCTCTCTCTCTCTCTCTCTCTCTCTCTCTGTCTCTCTCTCTCTCTAGTCTCTCTCTTTTCAAAACTTTTCCAGTAGGAAGTTTGAAATTTCATACATCACCTGTTTCTGCTAGAGCTTCAGAATGATATTACGAGAGGAAGAGAAGTAAAATAGGAGGAGGAGGAGGAGGAGGAGGAGGAGGAGGAGGAGGAGGAGGAGGAGGAGGAGGAGGAGGAGGAGGAGGAGGAGGAGGAGGAGGAGGAGGAGGGGGAGGGAAAGGGAAGGGAGAAGGAAAAGGATAGGGAGAGAAAAAAAGGGAAGGAGAGGGAAAGTGGGAGACAGAGAGAGAAGGAAAAGGGGGAGTGAGCGAGAAGTGGGAAGAAGCAGGAGAGGATTATAGGGGAAAAGGGAGAAAGAAAAGATAAAGGACGAATAAAAGAATAAAAGTGAAGTTGGGAAAGTGAAAGTGAAAGGGTAAAGAAAGGAGGAGAAAGAAAGAAAATAAGAAGAGAAAAAGAAAGCCAGAATAACTCAAAATACCATAAACAATAAAATAAGAAAATAAATGAATAAAGAAAGAGAGAGGCAAAAAAAAAAAAAGGAATATTAAAATGACATGTCCTGTTGTAACACGTGTGGCCTTTAACCCTGTTTCTTTCGCATCAAAATTCCTCAGTGAA